ACCTAAAAAGAGCCGATTCAAGCACCAAAACGAGTCGATTCAAGCACCGAAACGAGCCGATTCAAGCACCAAAAGGATGAAACTCTTGCTCAGAGTCACACCCCTTCCAACACTTCTTCAGGGTGCAGGCTTGCTTTAGAGCTTAGGGTTTAGGGTTCGGGGTTGGTTCAGGGCTTAGGGTTCAGGTTCAGGGCTTCAGGGTCAAGGGTTTAGCGGTTTCAGGGTTTAGTGGGTTCAGGGTTTAGGAGCTTTAGGGTTTGGGGGCCTCAGGGTTTAAGGGCTTTAGGGTTCAAGGGTTTCAGGGTTTTGGGGGCTTGAAGGTTTAGGATTTTGGGGCTTAGGGTTTAGGGTTTAGGGGTTTTAGGATTTAGGATTTAGGGTTTTGGGGTTTAGGGCTTAGGGGCTTTAGGATTTAGGATTTAGGATTTAGGGGTTTTGGGGTTTAGGGCTTAGGGGCTTTAGTGTTAAAGGCTTGAAATTTACGGGGTTGAGGGTTTAGGGGTTTTAGGGCTTAGGGGTGTTAGGTTTATTAGGTTTAGAGGTTTTAGGGCTTAGGGTTTGAAGGTTTGGGGGCTTTAGGGGTTTTCGGGTTAAGGGGTTTTAGGGTTTAGTAGGGGTTCTGGGGTTTAGGGTTTCGGGGGCTTTAGGGTTAAGGGGTTTTAGGGTTTTGGGGCTTTAGAGTTTAGGGTTTAGAGGGTTTAGGGTTTAAGAGTTTTAGGGTTTTAGGGTTTAGCGGGCTTCAGGGTCGAGGGCTTAGGGGCTTGAGAGGGTTTTGGGGTTTAGGGGCTTTAGGGTTTAAAGTTTAGGGGAGGCTTTAGGGTTTTGGGATCTTTGTTGCACGACTCGGTCCGGGTCAGTGCGCGAATGCTTGGTGCGCGAATCCCTGGTGCGCGAATCCGACGGTTTAGTGCCCGAATCCTATTTTTCGCATGGTGCGCGAATCCGTTTTTTTGGTGCGCGAATCCGCTTTTTTTGGTGCGCGAATCCGTTTCCATGGTGCGTGAATCCGACGGTTTAGTGCGCGAATCCGTCCGCTTTGGTGCACGCGAATCCTGTGTTTCGCATAGTGCGCGAATCCGCTTTTTTGGTGCGCGAATCCGCTTTTTTGGTGCGCGAATCCATTTCCAACCAATAAAGATTGCAGCGCTTATGGAAGATCAGCTGAAATTGTTTGACAACCAAACAGGCTCATCAAGTGGCAGATGCTGGAGCTGGGACATGAGCGGACGACTTGGAATTAGATGCTAGAAAGGAAGTACAGCAAGACAAGTCTGCGGACAACCCTGACATTTTAGTCAGGGGGAACAACCGCAGCAGCAAGAACAGCGACAACGACAACAGCAACAACAACAACAACAACAACAACAACCACAACCACAACAACCACAACAACCACAACAACCACAACAACCACAACAACCACAACAACCACAACAACCACAACAACAAGCACAACAACGACAACAATGACAACAACGACAACGGCAGGTAACACCTTTTGCGAGTAAATTGCCTCCAACACAATTCCCAAATCATTCTGACAACGGGGGGCTTGCACGGCATCCGGGATCCTTTATGCAAAAACGCCCCATTTTGAGCCCCAACAGTTGCCATCCATGTTATCTCGCTCTCCCAGATCCGCGAAAAGCTGTTAGCGGGTGGCAACTTCTGAATGTGGGAGCACTTGATAGAAGTCATTTGCTTTCTTGCGAGGGCCCTCGTTTGACAACTTCTGAGGCAGTCGCCACCGGTGACCCACAATTTTCAGGGCTCTTTTCGCAGGACTGCGTGTTCTCCTCCTGGACACAGTGGAGTGTCTGCCAGAGTAAGGTCGACCAGGCGCGGCATTACTGGGCAGCTTTCACTTAGCTTGGCGCGCTTGGTGGACTGGCAATCAGGGAAGAGAATCCACATTTCGGAAGCCAAAGCTTTCAGGTTCTGGGGAACTACTTGAGTTCTTCTCAGCAGGCAATAAATATCTTGCTTTTTCGGGGTCACTATCGAATATCGAATGACACAAGTGTTCCACAAAAAGCGAAGCCTTTTCCGCGTTTCCTAGCCTGTCTATCCAGGCGGTGCGGGAACGCCACATCGACCGGCCTCCGCTGAAAAATGGTAAGCCCTGTGGCCCTGCTGCAACAAAAAGGGCATGCGAAGAATCAGAAAGAGGAGGGGGGAAGCGTAAAAGTCAGAGGCTGCTTGCCTTGGATTGAGGTAAGGGCAGCAGCAGGGAGACTCGGCCCTGTGGGGGTCCCGAGCCGATGCCCTGCGAGTTCTCGCCACTGGGGTGCAGTGAGAATTGTGTGGCCAACATGCGATCACCATCCTTCTGAGTATAAGTATGAGGGGCAGGGGGTTGCGGCATGCAAGGGGTTGCGGCATGAGGGTTTTGAGACGGCGCTCTAGACCATCATCCAAATTTTGCAGCCATTGTCTTAGAGAAGGACGGCTACCGACACGCAGCTTAACCTCTCACATATACCCCCATCCTTCCTAAGCTACTAGAAAGAACCATCACAAACCAGCATGTGAATGTCTTCTCAAGGCCCTCGAGGCTTTGCAAACAAAACCCCTAAACTCCTCTTTGAACACTATCCTGGACAGCCCTCGAAGAGCTGAGGGCTTGGCACGACTGGACCCTCTGCAGCACCACATGCGGCATCTCGGAGAAAGTCAGAGTATTCCGGACCTCCTCTTTGCTCGTCCTATGATTCTGATTTTACTCTTCTTTTTCAGCTGAGGCGAGGGTCGCCACACCCGCATGCGCCGTGTGAAGTCCGAGGAGTGCTACAGTAGGCTGAATTAAGCTATGTCATTGTCATGGGGGGTACCACAGTTCTTTCACTTATGCGGGTCGAAGGCTTCTCCCAGGCTGCATGAATCTTGAAGCGGACATTGGGGTGTCTAGACTTGAGTCCTTGCCTACAAGTGGTTTTTAACCTTGATAGGTTTTGCAGCGGTAAGAGCCCCTTCTCCAGCATCACATAAACTAGGAATCGATTCCTTGTGAGGGGATGTGTTTTATGGGGCCAAGAAACCTGTGAATGGAGGATTGGCTGAGTGGCCAGACGTGCGACGACGCGCTGATGGAGACGAAATATTGTAGCGTGAAGCCATGCCCCTCACAAGATTGCGTCATTGGCGCCCGGGCAGCGAGTTGGGATCTTCAGGATCTTTGGTGAGGTTTAGGGCCGTCGGTTTCGCGCCGGCATTGTTTGGAAGCTGTTAGAAGATGTCTCAACAACTTTCGGCGTCCAATTCTTGGTTGTCCTTCTTGGGGTCCCCCCACGGCCCAGTTTCCGGCGTTGCTAACCTCTCCCTGTCGCCTGGGAGAATGTCAGGCTTTAGATCCCTCTGCTGCATCTGCACCTGAAAATTCAGCTCCTCAATGCGCGCACACACGCAAACATCCCCCATCCCCTGCTCACCATGATGACATATGATGACCGTGCTGTTGCCTTCAAATATGAGACCCTGGGAGCGACAATTCTTTGAGCCCTTTACTCTGGGCAAGTGCTGAACGCCAGGCCCAGGAAGGTCATGTGTGAAATGCAGGGATTCCTGAATTTGCAAAACTGCAAAAGCCTTCAAAAAGGGAGCCATCATGTTGTCAAGGCCCATGTGCGCACATGATGTTCCTACATCGTCCTATCGAGCAACATGCTCGCCAGAAACCGCGGATTTCAGACCTTGAAGTCTAAATCCTACACTCGCCGTTTACCTACCATGTCAATTCGGCGGCGGTGGTGGTAGTAATCCTCTCCCTATATGAACCTGGCCCACGCGAACATGACCGTAGTCTACCACATTGCCATGAAACCGTTCACACAAAGATACATGCGGATCCTGCACATGCACCACCTCACGTGGTGGTTTCAAGCCCCCAACACGAAGTACATGCAGATGCTGTACATGGTGAAGATTATGGTCTTGTGTGGCTCAAATCCTGATGTACATGGTGCTAACGCACCTGCACATGATGGAGAACCTTGTCATGAGCATGCTCTGCACTCCTCCTGTCAGTTGGAGTTGGAGTCTAGCTGTGAGGTTGTGAATGGGCCTGTTGGGGGAGAAGACCACTACATGGACCCAGTATACGATGTTGCCATCCTGGGGGCATGATCTTCGGGCCCGAGCTCCCTGCTGTTCATGAGGTTCCTCATGACGTTTTGGGTGCGAGTAGCGGGCCTGAGTGTGATGGTAGTGGTCATGACCAACATGAACACTCCTGATGGGCAAGCATGCGTTGCCAAAGACGTAGTGAAGGGGTTGACTGTGTAGAAGTTACCAACTGGGCTTCAGTGGATCCCCGAGCGTGAAGCTAGACACGAAAAGAGTCGACGGGGTTGTAAAGCAACCTCAACACTGTAAACCTTATTAACCCCATGAATCCTGACATCCCTATAGCCCTATAGCCCTATAACCTTTACACCCTGTAAACCCTGTAAATCCCAAGACCTTCCCGGCCAAGGCACCTGGGGCGCATGGTCGCCCTGCGGCCGCCACTCCCTGCAGAAGACCAGGACCTAGCCCTGCTTGTCGCCCTGCTGTCCGCACGCACGGTTTTCCCCAAACTTGAATGTCAATATGGCTGGGCAAAGGCTTTGCTGATTGCCAAGAGTGGCATCACATCTGGCATGATGAGCAGGGTTTCCTGTGGCGGTTCATAAGGGTATCAAAATGGTTGCATGGAGTTTCTCAAAGACATAGGCCCCTACCGGAAGAATGGTAAGGTCTCAAGGGAATCTGGCTGAAACCCAACTTCCCCTTCCCATGACTAGCGTTGGGACAAGAAGGAAGAGGATCATGCTTGCATCATGGCATCTAGAGACTCCCGGCTGGTTCTGGGTTGACGTCTCACTGCCAGGAATCGTAAGGTGTTGGTGAGCCCGGAGGGTGAAGGCATGGGTTGCAACGTCTCGCGCCTCGGCAAGCGAATACAAAGCGTCAGCCTCCAGCATCTCCAGCCTTGCGGATCCTTGCTTGAGTTACCAAGGCTCATGGAAGCAGCCGCTTGCTCGCCGCAGGCCCGAGCGAAGAAGACCAAACCGTGTTTCTGCCAAGAGAGATTTTCTCTTCGCCAGGAAGGCGAGGACTGCATCCTGTCCGAGACACCCGGCTTGAACCCATGCAAATTGGAGCAATGGATCTCTACCCCAGCAAATTCGTAGCTTCGCTTGTCTCATTCTCTACTCATGTCTTATTCTCTACGCACCGCCGGCAAGTATCATCTTGGCCTGTTGAGGTGGTCGGCCTGGACACACTGCGACAAGAGTTGCCACGGCGGACAAACCTATCGCCACCGGCGTCTGATGCGCCATAACGCCTACGGCGGAGCTTGCCCCACAAGCTCCTTGAAGGAGATGCGGAGCCAATGTCTCGTCTCACGCTTCTATCTATGCTGTCCGGCTTTCCAGGAAGTGTCGCCTTGCAATACCCAAGCCTGCGTTCCAGTGACGAGGCGGGGGCCGAGGAGTTTAGGCAAACCACCCCTTTTCCTTTTCAGATTCTATCTTGTGCAGGGACTGCGAGCTTGGCGACTGGGGCAACTGGAGTGACTGCTCCCAGGAAAGGGGTGAAGGCTACGCCCGCAGAACACGCACTCTGACACCCGCTACGGGCGATGGCGAGGCCCAGAGGGCTTTCTTGCAGTTTTTGTTGCAATCAGTGGGCGCTGCCTTCAGTTTCACCAGAGCAAGGGGCAAGCATCAAGCATTTTGGCTGAGGGCTGCAACGGAACGACCGTGGAGCTGAAGGCGTGCGAAATCGCACCCCAGGAGGCCTTGGCCCTGCCAGGGAAATCCAACTTGCATCCTCCCGTGCAGTCGTTAGATCAGGTGGTGGATTGTGCGTGGGGAAGCTGGCTGGACTGGAGCGACTGCACCAAGACCTGCGGCGGAGGCACTGAGAGAATGAGGTAGCAGAGCGCTTCAATTGCTGGGCCTGGGCTGTGGGAGGCTCCATGCGTCGAAACCGGGCCATTGAGGCCGCTCCAAGGAACGGTGGCAAGGCCTGTCAGGAGAAGGACAAGGAGGCAGGGCGTAGGGCCAACAACCAGCTGCTTTTTCCATTTCTTTCTGCCTTTTCTGTTTGCCAGGAGGTGAACTACTGCAACACCATGCCGTGCGATGGTGCATGTGTAGATGGGAACTGGAGCTCCTGGAGTGCCGCTAAGCTCAGATTTAGTTGCCTTATCGTGGGCCTAGTCATTGCCTTCACATTTCGGAGGCCTGGAGCGAGTGTAGTGCCTACTGCGGCAGTGGATTCCAGAAGCGTCGCCGGTCTTTGGCAACGCTGCCCACGTCCTGCGGGGCCATGCCGGTGCGCCTGAAAATCCTCTTTTGCTTTCCATCAGACGCGTCTGACGCGTTTGTGGCTTCAGGAGGGCCCGCGGGAGGACTTCCGCCTATGTGACCCGCCTCCGCCAGCTTGTGAACAGGTGCCATCCTTGGTCAACTGAATTCAGTGGGAAAGCTTGAGACTAACAGTGACTAACAAGCTTCTGATGCTTCATGCCCTGCTTCCTCTAGGACAGGGACTGCCGCCTCTCCTTGTGGAGCAGCTGGTCGGAATGCACCTTGCCTGTTCTTAGCAGTAGACGGCTGGTACTTAGGGTTTAGGGCTTTAGGGTTTAGGGTAGGTCTTTGACTTTCCTACGTCACTTTCTTCATTAATATGCTCAGAGAAGACTTTGATCTGGGATGGGGTTTCTCATTCTGTCTGGAGCATGACAACGATTTCGCGGCTTCATTGGCTCCAGCAATGATCAGTTAAGCACTTTGACAAACAGGCATGTGATCCAGAGGAGCGGTAGTTCTGGTGGCCCAGGCTCAAAAGATTGCCACGGTGTCCGCGAGAGGGTCCGCCACATCGTCATGTGGCTGGGCTGCTGTTGAGAAATTTCGCAGCCTTCCCAAGGAGCGCGTTAAGCATACCTGCATGTATTTCTGAAGGTGAGGGCCTGCCTTTCTGATGTCCAAAATACTTGAGCCACCTTCAACCTAAAAGGGGATGAAGCTCAGGTATGCTCGCGGAAATGGAATCCCCTGCCACTTGGAAGCCTGTGAATACCTAGTCCTGACAGGGATCATATCACTTCGATGTTTTCCAGGTGACAATGAGAGCCTCAAGGACATCGAGGACAGACGCAGACAAGCAGAGAGGCTGAGGAAAAGAGGCAGAGGAAATCAGAAGAAGACAAATGACCGATCATAAGGAGAGCAAAGGAAACAAGCAGCGACGCGGACATACTTGGCTTTCTGAGTTTCTGGCTTTGCTTGCTTTCTTGGCGTCGCAGGACTGCAACCCGTTGATGGGCGGCGAGGCGCCGGCAGCCTGTGGCACTGCGCCAGAGCAGGTCTGCACAGACCTCACCATGTACCCATCACTTCAAGTGCCGTGAAGCAGCAAAGCAGCTGACTGTGCTGGACCGTTGGCCAGGACTGCGTGCTGCAGGAGTGGTCCGACTGGAGCGAGTGCTCCGTGAGCTGTGGCGGCGGTGAGCAGCTTCGGAAGCGAACGGCGTGGGTCACAGTGCATCACGGTGCCTCACAGTGTCTCAGCAACTGCGCTGTGCGCCTTCTCTTCATGGCTCCACCGAGGTTCTGCATCCCTCGTCCAGCGGTGGCCTGCCTTGTACTGGTGCCCTGACGATAGTCCAGGGCTGCGGCACAGTCCCTTGCCACGTGCACGTCGCTGGGCTGCATTAGAATCCAGCTCTTCGTGGGTTTGGAAGGCGCAATGAGATGCGGCTGAGGTGGTCAAGGATTGCCAGTGGGGGCAGTGGTCCGAATGGGGAGATTGCACTCACTGTGGCGGCCAGCGCACACGGCACCGCGTCATTGAGCAGCTACCGACGCTGCATGGCAAGCTGTGTGACGAGGAAAATGCCAAGGAGGTTTCTAACTGCACCAGCTACTGCCATGATAGGAAGTATTGTGTTTGGTCTGAGTGGACTGGACGGGACTGTGTCGAGACCTGCGGGGTCACGACCACGATGCGGAACCGCATTCTCAAGTTAGTTGACGTTGCGGATGATTATCTCTTCGTGGGCGACAAGCACTCGGGCTGCTTGGGCTCACAGCTTGACGTGGCAACTTGTCCTAGCAAGGAAGACTGCACAGAGTGTGTGCCAATCGACTGCAGCTTTGGACCCTGGAGCGAGTGGAACGAGCCTACATGTGTGGGGCTCTGTGAACGGCAGCGGGTTGTGAGTCAGATGAGCAATGAATGTGGCTCCCCATGCAGCGGGGCGCTGCAGGAGACAAAGAAGTGCGAATCCACGTGCGAGGCGCCTGTGGATTGTGAGCTCTCAGACTGGAACTCGTGGAGCCACTGCAGCAATGCAACAGGTCACATGGGCGGACAGAGGTACCGCCGCCGGGACGTGTTTCAGCCCCCGAAACGTGGAGGCCTCGCTTGCTATGGAGACCTGGAGCAAACGAAGGCCTGCAAGGGAGAGCTGCCAGAGCCCTGCGTGATGGACCAGTGGCAGTCGTGGGGCGACTGCAGCACGACTTGTGGCGAAGGTTTCCAGACACGAAGTCGCAGCATTAAGCACTTGGCCGACGATGGTGGGACTCAGTGCAACGGGCGCCTTGCGGAGGTGAAGGAATGCCACGCAGGTTTCTGGGAGGACTGTGGTTTGGGTAGCGAGCAGGACTGCGAGTTCGATTCCTGGAGTGACTGGAGCAACTGCAGCTTCACGATGCAGCGTGAGAGGTCCAGAGAGTTTAAGAACCGGGCTCTGCTGGGTGGCCTGCCTTGCATGGGACCCATGCACGAGCTGGAGACCTGCCACCATCCACCTGTGGATTGTGAGGTCTCTGCGTGGACGGAATGGGACGCGTGTGACCGGACCTGCGGCTCAGCCCATGCCCGGCGCCAGCGGCAGATCACGCAGTTCCCAAGGCACGGCGGCAGCCTTTGTCCAGGCGACCTGGTACAGATGAAGGCTTGCAACCTCCCTAACTGTGACCTCAAGGACTGCCAAGTATCAGGCTGGTTGGACTGGGGTGACTGCTCCGTATCCTGTGGCCAGGGCCACCAGGGCCGCGTCCGTGCGGTGATCAATCTTCGTGAGCCCGGCGGCTACGGCTGTTTCTTCTCCATCGCTGAGAATAGGGCTTGTGAGACTGATGCAGCTTGCTCCGATGACTGCCAGTGGGGCATTTGGGAGGATTGGTCGGAGTGCAGCCAGTCCTGCGGTGGTGGCCTCATGAAGCGGAGCCGTCAAGTCAAAACCTTGCCTTCAGACGGGGGCAAGCCCTGTGACGACAAGGACCCTCTTTTTTTCTTTTTTGTCCTATGCTTCTCAGCCTCTGGCCTCTGTGGCCTCTGTCACCTCTGCAGGACATGCAGGAAGTGCTGCCTTGCAACGTGGGTGTCTGCCAGGAGCACTGCTTCCCGGCGGCAAGCCCCCGAACCCCCCCATAGTGAAAGCTCCGTTCAGCTGATTCCTGATGCGTTTGCTGCTACAGAAGAGGCATCAATGGGCTCTGGGCGGAGTGGGAGCAGTGGTCTCCCTGCAGCCGCACTTGTGGGGGAGGAGTCACCTTCCGTCGCAGGGAGGCGGGGGATGCTCTCTGCGACTCTCTGCAGCATTCTGCTCCCTGGCCTCCTGTCCCTCCCTGAAGGTGAAGCGCGCGGCCAACAGCTGTGGGGACCCTGCAATTGGCAGCGACAAGGATTATGCAGTTTGGAGTTTGACGGTACGAACAAGCCTTGCTGTATAGCTGAGACGTTTGGGGTCTTTTGTAGTAATATAGTAGCTGCGCTTTTCGCAGGAGACAAGGTTTTGCAACGTCGACGTGCATTGCCAGGAAGACCAGGACAACGGGGCTCTGCTCTATGTAGAGTTTCCTGAAAAATTTGGTTGGTTTGGCCATGGCTGCCTGCGGATAGGACTGCTTGTACACCGCATGGAGCAACTGGAACGATTGTTCCACCAGCTGCCGCTTGGCCGGAACATGGTGCACAGCCGCGGCCGTATGTATGCCGAATGGAGAAGCCCAGGTACGGGCATCATGTTCCGGCGACGGAGCATTGCAGCCTATGGACATGGTGATGGCCTCTACTGCTCCTTGGCGGGTGAAGCATGCTAGCCTCTTTTGGAGAGCAAGTTTTCGTAGATCATGAGATGATATCTGATTGGCTGAGGCCAGGGTGCCTTGCAGGAGGTCTCCGCCTGCAACCCGGCAGAGGGCGAAGAGCCACCGTCTGGATGCCTGCCGGGCTTCTTCTTTTTTTTTCCGCATGGCTGTTTGATGCCAAACTCCTCCGGCCCAGTGGGTTTCGGCAGGAGTGCATGCCTTAATAGAGCCTAATTTCAAGGCATTTGCTAGAACAGACATGTCTCAATCTTCGCAATTCGCATGGCAGGTGTGCAAGGGCCTCCGGTGGACTGCGTGCTGTCAGCCTGGAGCAGCTGGGAGTCTTGCAGTGCCACTTGCGACGGTGGCGAGCAGAGGCCGCCTGTGAATTCCCTGATCGTCGCAGATCTTCGTAGTGTTGGAGATGCTGAGATGCCTGTTGGGTTTGTTGCCTGCTCACAAGGCGTCACCGCCATATAGACCAGCATCCACACCACGGCGGACTCCCGTGCAAAGGCAAGAACACGTTCATCCAATTGCCTTTTTTTGCCAACCATTTGCATGAAAGCGATGTTTGCCTGCCGATAACATTTGAAGTACTAGCTTTTGGCAGGCACCCTCCTTGACGTGAGGGAGTGTGGCCGTGATCACTGCCATGATGGTGGCCACCCTTTAGACTGTGTCTATGGCGATTGGAAGGAGTTCCCCAGTAGCATCAGAGGACAGAGTAGAATTGTATGACCGCTGTATACCTTCATACAACTACGGTATAGCAGGTTTCATGACTACTGTATAGCTATCGTAAAACAGCTTTCCAACGCAGCTACTGTATAAGATGATACAATGAAGGCCCTTCTACTTTTCATTGCTGAGGTGGGCACCTTGTGGACAGTGCGATGGGGAGAGGAAGCGAGTTCGGAAGATCCTGGTTTATCCCGCCAAGGCTGTTGGAAACGGGCTAAGGAGAGACGGGCCAGGTAAAAGGGCTAAGTTAGCAGCCTTTATGCGGGTCTTTTTGTCTTCTTCTGCAGGGTGGCAGAGAGTGCGTTCCGGCAGCAATGGAGCAAGTGGGCTCTTGCCCCAACCCCTGCGCCTCCGACTCTCGGCCGACTTGAAGAGTACTTGGATTTGCACAGGTGTTGCAAATGCTAGTTGCTAGCAGAAAAGTCTGCGGTTGTGCACGCTTCAGGAGCTTGCATGCTCCTGGCAAAGCTGGCCCCTTCCTTGCAAGTTTAAAGGTGCTACAGGTGCAGTTTTCCGCTTGTGGCAGAAGGAGCTGTAGTGAATGCATCAAGTCGACCATGCTCCGGAGCCATTGGCTCAAATTGTGTGTTTCACCGCAGGGTCCAGGCTTTCGACTCATTATGTCTAGTCTGCAGTCGAGCCTCTGGCAATGCAACCCAGGCAGCCGAGGCCATCCTGAGTTGTGTGCGCGGCCTTGCGTGTATGTGGCAAAGAGCGGCATGTGCCGTGTGGATTCTTGCAAGTTCTGCCATATGCCTCACGCCCAGCAACCTGTAAAGCTGGATCAGAGGCATCGGAACTTGCTCCCAAAGCTTGCTCCGGGGGACTCTGTTGAACTCTTTCTGGAGATCTTTCGTGGAAAGGTGGAGCATCTTGGCGTCCTTGAAGGTGCCACCCAGGTGCTGAGCCTCCTGGAGAAGGAAGCCTCGAAGCACCCTCCAGAGCACTGCCTTGCCCGGAAGCAAGCCCAGAACTTACGCAAGGTCCTTGGACGAATGACTTTGGCGAACTTGATCAGGTGCGGGAATCGAAGAGGAGTGCTGAGAATTTACGGCTTCAGAAATCTTAGGGTGCTGCTAGGTCGAGGGTTCATGACTTCATCACTTCATCCCCCCTCCCAGGTACTTCTCATCAAGCTTGCCGGCCGATGTGCACGAAGCTTTTGAAGAGCTGAGACTCAGCCTACCGCTTCCCGCGACGGCCACGACGGAGTTGTCTTTGAAAGAAGCGCTCAGTCTCTTCCCTCCAAGTTTGATCCAGACTGCGGAGACTGCAGGGATGGAGCCTTTGGCCATGGAGGGAAGCTTGGTCTGGAGCCTTTGACAGCCTGTTCTCCGCTTTGTCTCTCGAAGTCCTGGTCTGGGCATAGAAGCTGTGGGACCGAGGAATGAAGGCGAGTGAAGGCGAGAATGCTTAGCACCTCCCCTTGACCTCCTTCCGCCTTTGGTTGTAGGATGCCTGGGCATAAAGCTCCTGGGTCGGCGCGTTCGGACAGACTCCGGGAAATCGCACCACCCAGCTAACGGAGGTCAAGGGTCTGAGGATAATCTGTGACAGTTTTGAAGTTTTGGACATTTTGTTGCTTCGCTGAAGCTATTTGGTTGATGGCGGTTCTTGATCCCATCAGATTTACTTTCGTCTCGTTATAATGAAGGGGGCAGGGATTGCTCCTCACGATTGTCCATTCATGGCTGCTCGTCAATATGTCTGCATAGCGTGGCATCGAAAGAAGATGTCAGGAGCGGTTCGTGCCCAGTCGGTGGTTGGCAGGAAGCCAGATATCCGTCGAAGAGTTTTGTTCCGAGTGTCTCAGTGTGCTTGGACAGTATGATATTATTATAGCTTTCAGACTCACGGAGAAAAGCAGAGGCTGCAAGCACCATGAGCAGTCTCTGAGTCTCTGGATGACCAGCCGAATATGACGCAGAACAGTGTGACGGTTCTCAATGCCAAGTGTCCAGGTCGGACTGGAGCTCATGCTCTGCCACCTGCGGCACCGGAGGAAAGAGGAAGCGCACTAGAGGCTTGATCAAGGCCCGCAAAGCACTGCAAGATGCAAGCCCCAGAATGGCCTGATGCCTTCTGTCTGAGGTGACGCGGCCCGTGAACGCAGGGACTGCGTTGACTGGCAAACACCGAGACCTGATGCAGAAGTACCGGACCCTCTACAGCCGCACGCGCAGCTTGGAGGAAGGCCAGATGAAGGACAGTCCTGCAGTACCTGACCTGACGTGCTTCAAGGTTTGATGAATCGTAGTGCTAGTGGCATGCTGACATGACTCATCAGTGTTCATAAAATCAGCTACTGCTGCTGCTACTACT